GTCAAAGCCCCGGGGAGCAGGCGCCGCCCCGCAACCCGGGAAGTTTCCAGGGTAGGGACAAGAGCCCGAGGGCAACGCAGAGTGATGCACGGGCCCCCGCCGGCCCGGAACCCTCGGCTCCCCCCGCCCCACACCCTTGGAAGCTCACCTGCCCGCGGCCGGCCAGGGCGGTCCCAGCGCCGACCCCTCAGCGCCTCGCCCAGGGCAGCTTCCGGCTCTGGCCGGAAGTGCTCCTGAGGCCGGAAGTCCCGCCGCCGCGAGAGATCGCGGGGCCGCCGGGCTGCGCGGCGAGGTTCGGCGGGAGTCCTGGTTCCGGGAGCTTGGTCAGCCCGCCCGAGCCCAGCCCGGCTCCCTCCCTTGTGCCGCCCGGGCGGTTCCCCGGAAGCCCGGAACGACAGAGCTACTCCGGGTACGCGCGTGTCCTAGTTCACTGGTTACCACCCAAGCGAGATTCAGCTCCATGCTTATTGAGAATCTACCTCGTAGGAACTGTGTGGTGGTCACAGGAGAATGTGGTGTTGACTCCCCAAAAACTAGGGGAAGAAAGTTTTACCTAGCCGGAAGTAAGGCGGTAAATGCAATAACAGAAAAAGCACATGCGGGAGAGGGGCGTATAGCTCAGTGGTAGAGCGCATGCTTAGCATGCACGAGGTCCTGGGTTCAATCCACAGAACCTCCTCCAAAATAGAATAAACCTAATTATCGCCCCCTCCTGACAAAATAAAAAAATAATAATAATTAGGTAATGCAATAGTACATAAAACACCTAAGAAAAGAAAAGGCACCTTCCGTAGACGTGTTAATTTCTAAAGAGTTTTCTCATTTGAAAATGTCTCCACTGTGGTTGTGAGGATCAAATGAGATAATGCATCAGCGTCTAGCCATGGAGTCTGGCACATGATTAGAGCCGGTAAGTATTGTTGGTGATTGTTACTGTAGTATTGTTACTGCTGGTGAAAATAAAAGAGGCCTTTAACCCAACTAAAGGGAAACAGTAACATTTCGGGGAGGTAGCCTTCATGCTAAATGTTAAAGTTAGGCAGAATTTCAACACAGAGATACCTTTTAAAAACTGCTTTTGCTGATTAATGAAAGGACATAGACTAAGAAACTCTGTTTCAAAAAACAAACTTTAGAAGCTTTGTTGTTTAAAATCGTATCAGTAACGGTGGAACATCCCATGCCTGCCTGGCAGAGTCCCGGGGATCGTTTTGACACTTTGTCAGCTCAGGCATAGCGCTTCAAATAAGGTCTTTTCAGATATAACCTTCCACGTTTTTGTTAGCTTTACAGTTTTCAAGAATACATGACCTTGGAGTCAGCTTCGTAGGTGAGGCCTGAGCCTGCTTAATTCTTACCTACACTCCACCAAGTCCTATGCTGTGTCTGCCTCTTCCTTGTTTTTTTTTTTCCCAGTTAAGTGACCCACCCCCTACCAAGTTCCTCTGGTGTGGGATTTCCCTTGTTTCAACAACTTAATACATTTTGTTAGCTTTGTCTCAGATGGACTTTATCAGACGGGCTTTACCACTGATTGATTGAGCCTCCTGCCCTCTTGAAGGTTGAGGGATACATTTGGCCCCAACTTAGACGAAAACTGAAATGTAATAAAGATGGTTATTTTACTGACATTCATTTGTGTCGTGATAAAAGCTGTGGAGTTTTTTAACTTGAGCATTTTAAATTATCTTTTGGCAGAGAATGACCACAGTTTTTGAAAATTACTAGCCTCCAGCAAATTCAGACCGGTCCCACAACCGGTATGGAAAGTACTTTCCCCTCTCCACCGAGTTGCAATAATATTTGCCTAGTTTTGCCTCAAGTGAAAGAACGACCCCTCTCTGCCTCCAGTCCTTTTCTCATCACACTGATTTGCGCACTGCTGCCTCAACCATGTTATCACTTTGAAGTGCTTTCTCTGCTAAATTTTTCCCTAAAAGGGCCTCTTATTCCTCACCTCCCTCTCACTTCAGTCATTTTCAGCCTGATCTTTTGGCTCTCTCTCCCCTCCAGTTCTTCCACGATTACCTTCTCAAATATCACCAAGTGACTTCAAATCCCCAAGGTGGTGTCTTAGTCACCATATTCCTTGATTTCTCTGTAGCATAGGCTGATAGGGTTATTTATCCCCCTTTGTTGTAAAAATCATCTGTAAAACATTGTAGGGGGAAAAAAAGCTCAAACTTAAAATATCAAATATTTGCAGTACAATTCATTTTAAGGCTCATCATTCATGTTGCATCAAGTAAACAGTAAGCTCCAGCTCTGCACCAAATACTATTTTTAGGCACTGGAGCTCTAGCAGCGAAACAGAGATGCAGTGTTCCAGTCTTGGACAAATTTATATCTTAATGGTATGAGACAGATGATACATAAATAAAATAGGTAATTTCAGAATGTGCTAGGTGCAGAAAAGGAAATAGATGCTATGTTACCAACTGAAAGTAGGAAGGTAAAGGGAGGGTAACTTTCAAGGTGACATCTGAGCTGATAGCTGCAAGATAAAAAGGATCTAGCAATGTAAAAAGAAAAAAGACTGGAGGAAGGTCTTTCTAGTGCTGTAGTATAACAGAAGTGGGAGGCAGGGTTGAGAGAGGGTTAAGAGGGGTCACTTACTATTGTAACCATTTCATCTAGGGCACAAAAAGGAAATAGTGTCTTAAACAAGACAGGAAGGAGAAAAACTGGAAGACTGTGGGGTCACAGCTGCTGAGAAGTCACTTAAGATGAGAAGAGAGAACTGTTCACTAGATTTTGCAAAATAAATGTCAGTGTCCTTGACAAGAGCGGTTTCGGTAGAGTGGCAGACTCAGAAGTCAGTCTGCAGTGAGGTGAAGTGGAAAGGAGGTTGCAGGAGCACGGCTAAACCGCCCTTCAAAGACGAGACCTTCTCATTGCCATACTGAATGAACAGTTTTTGTAATAGAAAATAACAGATCTGACTCCATATTAGTTCTGTTCCTTTGGCTTTAACCCTGTGCCGTTTTCTAGGCTTAGTCTTGCTGGCTCTGCACTTTTTGTAAAATAATGCTGCTGTTAGCCTGAAATATACAGAGCCTATTCTCAAGGCTCTGACCTTTAAGGATATTAACACTTTTGCACTTATATAAAAATAACAAGTTGCAGAATAGAAAATAACATTTGTTTTGGAGGTTTTACAGGGACACCATGACCTGACCCATGGGGACAGCTTCAAGGACAAAGGATTCCTACAGCAAGAAGTTTGCAACAACCAACCACACCCCCTCCCCTTTTTATTGATAAAGGAGCCTGAATTCTGTCTTAAGATGGTTCTCCAGGACATTAGTCTGCCATCTTCTCAGTCTGCCGACTTTCCGAATAAAGTTCCTATTCCTTGCCCCAATACCTCGTCTCCTGATTTATTGGCCTGTCATGCAGCCTGAAAGCAGAACGAGTTTGGACTCAGTAACATTTTCAGTCAATATCCCATGTAATGGTTCACCCCTTGGAGCCAGATGGTTTCTGGTTTCTTTCCAGAGGTTCTTTTCTCTTCTTCTCTTTTTCTTTTGGACAGGGAGTTACAAATCACTTTGGAAATCTGATGAAAGCTATCCACATATGCTAGGCGAGGCGAGGAAAAGGAGCCCCTCATTCATTGCCTCGGACCCGGCCACCATTCCTGCATCTCTGCACTGAGACCAAAGGGCTTAAACCCTCCGCACCGAACAGAAGCACAAATGCTGCCGGGCACAGGCACTGAGGACGGGAAACCCGCTGACTGATGAAGCCGGTTTCCCAGGAGCCAGTACAGACCAGGGAGGATTACCCCACTGCAACGTACACAGGCCTCAACCCCAACCCGTCTGTAGGGGAGGGCGCAGCTCAGGGGTAGAGCATGTACCTAGCGCGCACAAGGTCCTGGGTCCAATCCCCAGTGCTTCCGTTAAAAAATTTTACATATAATTTTAGGGAGCTAATTACTCCTTTGAAGACAATTAATGGGCCCCAGAGAAATCCATGGATTATAGATTAAGAACTCTCTCTTTTTTCAATTAGCCATTCTCTTCCTTCCTGGTTTCCTTAGTCCTTTGATTGCTCCCTGCCTGATAACTGTCCTTGCCAACTGCTACACACTCTCTCAGTGACTACATCTACTTTCTTGATTTTTGTTATTGGGTCCATGACACCTGTGTTAGTACAGAAGCCCTCTGGAGTTGGGGGGTAACCTAAAAGAAAATCAAGATCAGTTAAGCCTGATTTTCAATGTCAGAAGACTTATTTGATTTCACAGTGTCTAACTGGACACCATAGGAGTTGAGGCTATGAATAACTGTTCATAAGGGCATTCTGGAAAAGGTTTATATAAGAAAAAGAAATCAAAAGCTAATCCTCTCATTGTAACATGTTACAATCTTCTTCCATCTCTGTCTTCACAGCCCCATCACAGGAGGAGGCAGCCTTCTACTGGGAACTTCACAGTGGCATATGTTTATCATGCAAATTTCCCTCCAGTCTTCTTAGGAACTCTTGGTACCTTCTGATGTGCAACTTTTCATCCTGGCATGTGATTTGAAGGTTAGTTTTACATGTCAATGTGGCTAGGCCATGGTACCCAGCTATTTGGTCAAACACCAGTCTAGATGTTGCTGTAAAGGTTTGTTTTAGATGAGATCACCAGTTAAATCAGTAGACTCTGAGTAAAGCAGATTGCTCTCCATAACGTGGGTGAGCCTCACCCAACCAGCTGAAGGCCTTAAGAGACAAAGACTAAGCTCCCCAAGGAAGAGAGAATTCCGTTTCCCCTGAAACACATGGCCACACAACATGGGGGAAATATCAGGGTTCTTTTCATAAGGAAGAAGTGAGGAATGTCTGTTGGGTAGACAAACACCATTTGCCATAGATTCAATTCAGTACCTCCTCTAATCTCTCCAGTGGCACTACTTATAGATTATGGTTGGTCTTACTTTAAGACGTTCTCTGTTCCCTTAATTATTCTTGTTTCCTCTAAATTAAGTTTTTCTATATTGTTTTGTTCCTTTTTTTTTTAACCTTGGTCTTTCCCTGTCACTGCAGGTGTTCTATAAATGTGGGTGGGTTTCTGGTTGTCCACCTGTGTTTCAGACGGAATGAGGCAGCAGAAATGCTAAATGTGAGCTAATAGGAGCTCAGCTCATGTGACAGGGCTGGCTGGCTGGCTGGCTGGTGAGCTTCAGTGCCGTGTGAGAGGGAAGGGAGCAGCCATCATGCCCCAGGAAGGCTCCCAGATGCCAGAATAGAAGAGTGT